ATACATTTTGTTAAGATTTCGTGTTTTCTTTTTGTTATTTTGTTAGTTTGAGTTAATTATTTTTATGTTTTATTTAATTTATGTCAAAGCAACTACTACAGCTAGATGAATAAATGTTATGTCTTGCAAATATCTTATTTATTAGGTCGTGCTATGAATTTTGTATCTACAGAAACTAATGTACATGTTTTTAATACATCTTGGTTGCCGCTGCTCAAAACCTTTCTCTTTTCTGTATCTATAAAAGAAAATTAAATTTGGATTTGAAGTTAACAATGGTATTGAAGATGCCAATACCAGCCTTGGAGTGTGCTACTACATAAAGAGATCAATTAGGTTTGCGCCAAAACACTTTTCGCAGTTTATATTCTTTCTTTCTTGTGAAGTTGTGATCTCCTCTTGTTCTGTCACAAAATGCAGTGCTAACGCCTCAAAACCAGGAAAAGACCGTATGTGACGTTGCCAAAGAAGAAAGACTCTTCTTTTTAACGTAGAGAAAAATGGGAAAGGTGAAAACCAGGCTTCTTCGACCCAATGTGTGTCCGAAATTTATGGATCAATCGTATATTTTTAAAATTATAAAAAAAATTAAACTTAATCTTTCTTTTTATTTTATTTTATTAATCTTGTGATTGTGATGTGGAGTAACTCATTTGGACCTTCTCAAATGTTATATCGTTTTCTCATTCCCGTATTAGGTCAAATGTCAATTTACATCCTATCATGTTTACATTTGATAATCCGTACAAATTCTTTGTAGAGAATCATAATCATAAGTAATGTCTATAATCATAATATATAACTGTGAATCATGTACATAATCATATAAGAACACTAAATTTCTTGATGATTATTATACTATGTAGGCTCACTTCTAAGTCACGATTTTGTATAAACTACATACTAGTGATGTCAATGGGTTGGGCAGGACTAGAAGATACTTGCACTCCCTCCTATACTTGCGTGTGTACCTTTTAGGTTAAATGAATATTTGTGGGTACTCAAAGATTTTTATAATTTTTTATTAAACATATAAAATTACAAAAAAATTTTAAAAAAATGATCATCAACCATTTATATAATACTAAAATGGAAATTAAATAATTCACATAACACTAAGAGATAATTAAAATATAACTTTAAAGTTTTTAATGTTAGGATTATGTTATTTTTATTTATATATATAAAAACTAATTTTATAATTTTATATCTAAACATTTACATGTTGACAAAGATATTTTATTACCTGAACTCGCCTCATTTATTTAGTGAGTACCCAAAAAAAAAATTTTGTTTATTACACATATGGTATTCATTTACGATAAATATTACTCATAAGTACATGTTTTTTCACCATCCCTAATGCATACAAGTATTATATGACCAATGACGTGTTTTACGTACCATGAGGTACAAATATTGACTTAAATGTTAAATTATTTTTTACAATATATTCCATATTTCATTAACTACTCTGCATACCAAGGTTGACTTGACCTCCTTTAAACTATATTGAACATATTCTTGTTGAGTTTACTAAAAATATACTAGATCAAATCTTAATTTTTAGGAATGATTTTAAGCATCTAAAAATAAAAAATTTTCATTAAAAGGAAGTATTTATTATAATAATTTAAATAAAATGCATTGAAAATATAATTATTTTTTACATTTTCATTTAATCATAAATTGTTATATCAATAAGAATTATTACTTTTTGCAGTAATTAATTTTAAAGTAATAACTACCATGTATTCTAACTGTTGAAGGTATAAAACATTTACATTCACAGTAGTGCATCAAAATTAAACTCACATTATACTTCCTTTGGCTTTTTTTTTTTAAAAAAAAAATTCATCAAAATCAATAAAAATAGTTCATATTATCAATTTATATTATATTTTAAAAATATACAATATTAAATAGTTAAATTGGTGGTTTATATGGATTTATTTATTTATATAAGTAACTTATGAATATTATTTGTTAACGTAAATCTTATAATAAATAAAGATATAAAAAAAGCTAAACATCTAATGCGTCTAAAAATACATTTTTATTTTTTATAATTAAGATTAAAACTTATTAGTTATTTCTTATAAAAAAAGGTGGAAAATTTTCTAATATAATAAATAGTTTTTAAATAAAAATTTATCACTTGGCTATTTATTCAAGTCCTATGCTTAAATTTTGGATTTATTTACGACAACATTAAAGTAGTGAGTTTTCTCTTCTCTCTTGGAAGAAGAGAGAGAGAATAAAAAAAGAAGCAGTTGAAAAAGGTTATTTTTTTATAAACTAATTTTTTTTATTAATTAATGAGTTTCATGATAAAAAGAATTGCAAAAAATAAAAAATTAATATTTTTAATTAAAATTTAAAATTATTAATTTCTTTGGCTGATTTAGTCTAATTAAAAAATAACATTTATTATAACTTGATTATATAAAGACTCTTATTAGATAAATTGATTATAAATTAAATTTTTATAAGATAAAATTAATTTACATTTTAATATTTTTTTAGAAAGTTTCTGGTTTAATTATTTTAAAAATTGAAGCATGATACCTAATTTTAATATTTAAAAGATTTATTTTATTTTATTATCTTTTACAAATGTTTACTTAAAAGTTTACATAATAATCATTAATTTGCACTCGTTTATGATGGAACCCAAAGCAAACTTGAAATTGAAATTTTTCGTTTATCCTTACTTGCAATGGTTTTTGAGCATGCTGTAGTTTTCTTTTTTTTTAAATAATTTGTTGATCGATGTAATCTTCTACAGTTTTGGGGAAAACTGCAATTTGTAACTTACTATTAGCATTTAATTTTTTTTATTAAAAAAAAGTATTTATTAAAGCTCAATTATTTATTTTTTAAAAATAAAAAATAAAATTAGCACAATAAGAAATATTAAAAAATATAATTATAAAAATATAATAATCTCTATACATGATTTATGAATATTAACTTTTAAATGAGAGCATTTTAAGGTAATTTCTTGAATGGAGGTATTTTTAAGGATTGGTTATAATTTTCATAATTTCAAGTGATATTTTAAGATTAAATATTTATTTTTAACATAATTTAAAATTAAAATATGAGTTTTTAAAGATTTTTAAAGAATAATTTTTTTTAAATATACTATAATATTTTTAATTGAGAATTGATATTCAAATTATACGTAGAGATTGATTTATAGAGTTATATTGAGTGAAATTTCAATTAAGTATTATCATCTTAATTATGTTAAACAAATTCTTTTATGTTTACTAAAAATTATAAATAAGACTAATATTCATAAGAAAAAGTAAGCTCAAGAAAATGTTATTGAAAAAAGAAAGAATATAGTTTGAAAATATTTTTAAAAAAGTTATAAAAGATAATTTCATACGTTCTTTTAAAAAATACTTTAATGTTTAATAAAATGTTAATTAAATAAAAAGTAGCACAAGCTGTAAAAAAATGTTACTAAAGTTTTAAATATATTATTTTCTTTTAAATTTCAATTTTAAAATAAAATTTAATTTTATCCTTTAATTTTTTTCTCGTTCATTTTAATTCTTTAACTTTTACAAAAGTTTTAAATAGGTTATTTTCTATTAAAAATCTAACTTTATTAAAAGATTTGTAATTTTGTGCTACGTGTACGATACTGTTCATCGTCTTCCTCATCAGATCTCTAACAACTCTTCTTTTTCCTTTCATCTTCATCTTTTTATACTTAAAACTCCATTTTCTTGCCATCAATACTAAGCTTTCACCACCAAATCTTAAACCATAAATAACTCAGTTTTTTAAATACTCATTTCTTATCTCTGACAAATCTAAACGCACTCTTTTGATTTTTACATTTAGATTTGTCGGAGATAAAAACAAATTAGGTATTCATAAAGTTGATATGTTTATAGTTTAAGATTTGGGGATGAGTGCTTGATATTGGTGACAAAAAGAAAGAGTTTCGAGTATATGAAGATGAAAAGGAAAAGGAAGATGAAAAGTTAACAAAGTCATAGATCTGAAGATGGTTTGAGATTTAAGAAAATGGAGTTTTGAGTATATGAAAATGAAAGGAAGAAGGAAGATGAAGAGGAGCCAAGGTGAATGGTTTGAAATTTGGGAGTGGGTGCTAGATATTGGTGGATCTGAGGATGATTTGAGATTTGGAAGGTGTGTGCTTTATATTGGTGAAAAGAAGATAGAGTTTTGAGTATATAAAGATGAAAGTGAGAAGAAAGATGAAAAAATGCTAAGATGGCAGATCTGAGAAGAAAGACAATGAACAGTATTGCACAGTATATGTGGCATAAAATGATATTTTTTTAATAGAGTTAAATTTTTAATGAAAAAGAACTTATTTAAAATTTTTGTAAATGTTAAAGAACTCAAATAAAAAAAATTTAAAAAATAAAATCAAAATTTACTTTAAAGTTAACGAATGAAAATATTAATTTTGTCTAAAAAGATTAAAAAAATGAATAAAATATTTTTGTAATACATAGGGTCAATATTTCTATAAACAAGTAATGTATTCTTTAATAAAAATATTCAGTATACAATGAATGTTATATGTAGAAAAGGAAATAAAAATGGTTTAAGAAAAAATATTGATAAAATAAAAAGGAAAATAATTAAAAAAGAAATAGATTTGGTAATGGGTTGGGCCTAACTTAAATGTAAAAAGACCCAAAATGTAGTTTGGAAAGGCGTGAAGAAAGGAAGGAAAGCTTCAAGTAATTGAAGAGAAACATTAAAGTGGACCCAATTGGTGCCCAAATGCCGCAATAAAAAAAGAACTTTAGTGTAAAAGTTTTCAACTTTCGAACACTGTAACGTTCGCTAATTAAATAAAAGTTGTCGTCATGTAGCAAACACTAAATGTTTTTCTTGAAATTGCACTGATCCCAATCTTATACTCTCTATTTCTTCACAAAAATCATCGATCTTCTTTCATCCTTCTCTCATTTTCTCCATTTCACCAAGCTTTCTTCGTATCTATGAGTGAGAAAGAAGTAAGTTTCACTCATTTGTACCAATTTTCTTATTTAATTATATGTTTATGTGGAATTCAACATGTTTTTCTTACACATTAAATTTTGTTACTCTTTTTTTTTAACGCTACTATTCTCGATTTGCATTTTTATGAGTTTTTCTTATGATAATTTTGATTTGTTTACATGTTATGGTGAAGGTCCAAGAACCTATGGCTAGTCGAGGAAGCAAGAGAACTATAATTGAAAGAATTGAAGGCAGTGATGACCAAGGTTACACCAACAGTCAGGGTGGAAATTCCATGGACAAGTAAGATTTCAAGGAGAAGGATATTGAAATTAGTTTTTTTTTTTTTTTTTTAAGTTTACAGGGTGTGTTTGAATGCATAATTATTTAAGAGTTTATTTAATAATTTTATTAAAATAATAAATTTTATTATTACATTTATGACTAAATTTATTAGGATTTCTTGAAAATAAAATATTTTAATAAATTATGATAGAATTACATTTATGAGTGTAATAAATCATTTTTTTATAAGTGGTTGATAACTCTTTTTAAATATACTCGGTCTTCTTCTTAAACGTTAAAAATATGATTTTTAGTGACTAAAATTTAGAAACATATAATTTTTATGAAAAATTTTATTTCATCACTATAATTGAACATATAATGACAAAAGTATGCTTGCCACAAACAAATTGTCATTAATAAATAATATTGATATATTTTTTTTATAAATTGTCACTATAAATTTAAAATTATACTTTTGAAAAATATTATTTTTTTACTAATATAATTTATACTTATAAATTATGACTAGGAATAACTCTTGTACACTCATGAGTTTCTTTATATTTTTTTATTTATAATATTATTTATAAATTGTGTCATTTTTTAAATTTATTTTATTATGATGAGATAACATTTTTACCATGTAGAAATATCTTGTACATTTTAATTATTTTTTTATTTTATAAATTCATTTAAACTTGTTATTGAAATTTAAAATAGTTTTTATTTGCTTCATTTTTTTAATTTGTTATTTTGTGTAATTTTTTTAATTATTTTTTATTTATTTGCTTCATTTGTTATTTATATCATGATGAGTATTAGTTTTATATTAAATATAATTTTTTTGCAGTGAAATTTTTTTGTGCATAATTATTTTTTAGGGTTCTACGACAATGTTTTATATTTGGTTATCGAAAAAGCTCAAGGGGTGTTGATTTACGTGTTCAGGTTTGGAAAAGGAAATAGTTCTTCCCATGCAGCTGATGTGGCTTTAGCCAGAAAGATGAAGGCCGTAGCCAACTTGGAGGTTGATGGTTCAAAAGTGAATTCCCAGGTAAATGGGATTGGTAATCTTAATCATTTTAAGCATTAGGGCATCGATCAAATGCTTGGGATTCTTTAGCAACATCTATTTAACTAGACTTGGAAGGCAAAAAGGTTTCAAACTATATAACACATAATAAGCAAAAAGTCTTGTCCATACCTCTCCAACTAGTTAAGACAAATATCATTGTCACCAAATATATATTTCTATAAGCTATGTTCACTTTTCATTTAGTTGATCACATATACTAACTTTTCGTGCTTTTTTTCATTTTTATTTTATCATTCTTAGGTTCCAGCATGTCCTCTAGGAAAAAATGCACAAGCTACAGCTTCAAGAGTGGATACTTCCACAAACCAAAGAAATTCTGATTTTTACATAGACCGGGTATGTGACCTTATCGTTGGAATGTCACTATATACTGAGCCAACCAAATCAAAAGTACGCGAACTTGCACATAGGGCTATGTATGAGTTATCAAAAGTAGCTGTTGCTGGAAAACCCTTATGGAAATCACAAAATGGCCAAAAGTTTGAGACTATGGATAATATTGAATATTTGAGAACTTATGCTGGCCTTGAGGAAACCATAGACGGGATTAAAAATTTGATTAAGGTTGGAGATCATCAAGATTTTCCAAGCTTCAAGTCACTTAGAGTTGGATATGCTCCTAAGCCAAAACCACCTCCAAGAGAACGTAACACTATCGAATCTTCTCGAGTTATAAAAGAAGTTAAAATGGATCCACTTAACATTGTTCAATTACTCATGAATGTGGTACGCTATTTCATTGATTAATATTACTTTTCATTGATTATTGATATAGTGATTTCAAGTAATAATGATGATATCTTCTCCTTAATTATTTCTCTCTCCTCTTTCGTTGGCCATTAATTAGAAGCAATGGTCGAGAATATTTTATAATGTTGTCTCAAGAGGAGTATTCCTTGGAGTCTATTTTAGCGGAGTGGAAGGAAGTTATGATGGGAGAATGCAAGTGGTAAGTTAAATTATTTATCTATTCTTAATTTAAATGCTTTTTCAAGGAAGCCCACAATATCATTCACTACATATCACAAATGTCTCTCTGACTTGAATTCTTCATTAGTATCGTGTGCTGAAAAAGCACGAGCTAATTACCCTCTCTAGTTAACTTTGAAAGTTATTATGGTTCATATGAAATTTTACGTGGAGTTAGTTATGCTTTATATACCTTGACTCTTGATGGAGCAAGCATCCAATGGAGATTTTTTGGTGACTTGCGTGGCAGCTGAGAGCACGACGGTGAAGTGTATATTTGTAAGATTGTCAGTTATGCTTTATACACCGGTCTTGGTGGTTTGGTGTGTTGACTGCGGTCAATTCTGTTGATCCCAGATCAAGATTATTATTTGTAAGATTATTTCAATTTCACATAATGTATATATAACCTTATTTTAACATATATCTTATTTATTTTGTAGATGAATGCTGAATTTCAGTTGCCTACACCATTTGTGGCTACCAGAGAATGTTATTTTGTAAGGTACTCTAAGAAGCTATCTGATGATATCTGGGGCGTTGCGGATATTTCGATGGAAAAGATTTTCCCTTCACCAGATATCAAATTTCGAAGAAGGCCATCAGGTTGTTTGATTAAAGCAATGCCAAATGGATACTCTAAGGTTGTTACCCTAACCATATGCTACATTTTTTTCTTTCATTGTTTCATTTTAACCTGAATCAAATTTCATATCTTTTCCCTTACTCTGTGTTTGGAAAGAATAATTCTAAATTATTAGATTTTAGGCATTTAATTAGTAAGAAAAAATGTATTTAAAATATTTTAAAATTTTAGTTAAATAACTTTTATCTCAAGTATAAATTTTTTTAAATATATTCTATTATGTTTTACTTTTTATAATTATTATTTATAATTCTTTTTATATTTGATTCGTTTTTAAATCATCTTCATGGTTAATGTAAGGTTCTCAAAATTCTAAAATTCTCTATCCAAATACAACTTTTGTGTATATTTCTTCAATCATTTTCTTCTCTTATTTGACTTTGTTTATTTTTCGACCTCATTTGTTTCATTTCATTAGGTTATATGGGTGGAGCATGCGGTAGACAATGACGAGTATAGCATGCATTTCAGCCAAGTAGTTTCTTCAGGTTTGGCCTATGGTGCATCGCGTTGGGTTGATTCTTTGGTTCGAAGTATTGAATGCTATGGAATTCCGAAAACAGTACCCATTCCATTACATGACGAGAGTAAGTTTACTATATATTTATTTTTTCATTTATGAAACAAACTGAGTTCTTTATTTTTCTTTTGGAAGTGAAATTATTTAGGAGATAAAGTTAATATGTGGTACTTGTTTTGGTTTGCTTTGATTATTATAAATGACAGTAGAACGTTTGAATGTTCTAAGGACCCATTTTATTCATTATGAAGCATAATTGAATGATCTTGTTCAAACATCTAATCTCATTTAACCTAATCTTCCTACAGTTTGTCTCAAGAACCTCATAGATTCGCTCAATGTTGGAGGAAATGGTAAAGTACTCATTTACATGGTTTTCTGCTCATTAAATAGAAGCAAAAATATAAGACGATTGGTATACTATATATGGTATTTGGACAATGCACGACTAAAATCTTCTACAATTTCTTCTAATATTGTAGTTATACATATATTTTTAGCATGTTCTTCTTTCATCATGAACAGTTACTGAAGCGGGGAAAGAAAGTCTCTTAAATCTGGCAGAAAGAATGATGAGAAGCTTTTGTTGTGATATCAGTGCTTCTTACAGAAACGACTGGACAACCGTTAAATCACTTCTTGGCTTTCATGAAGTGAAGGTCAAGGTTAAGGATATTATAAGCGATTTTGGAAGACCTCGAGGTGCAACAGTGATTTTCTCTAGTTCTGCTTGGCTCCCAACCTCGCCGAACATATTATTTGACTTCCTTCGTGACCCCACTTGTAGAAAGAAGGTATGTTGTATGAGATGATTTTTCTATATGCTCTTTATTAGCTTTTATTTTTTAACGCACTAAAGGATGTATGTATACTTATATGCTAAGGACCATAAGATTGTGTAAATTGGCATGTAAAAATATTAGAGCTACCTTTGTTTAGATATCCTCCATGAAGAAAAACATGAAAAATGGAAAGGAAATATAACTTCGTTGTGTATTGTTAAAAAAAACGAAACAACGTACGGTAATTTAAGAGCAGGTCTTAATATCGGATCCTTGATTAAAAATTGTTAATTACACCATGAAATCCATTTCTTCTTTCGGTTTTGTTTGGTAGATTATTCTATTTCATACTCTTCATTTGATAAAAAGACTAGAAAAGAATTTTAAAAAATGGGAATCTATAAATTAGTTCTATGTAATTTCACTGAGTGCTATATTTTCCAAATCTATTTTATCAGTAGCATCAATTGATGACCATCATGGCATGCATAAGGCTTGTTGTATTACCATATATCCCCTCACGGCCTCACATATTTCCGTTCTTTGTCTTTGTGCATTAATCATAGTGGGACTTGCTTTCAACTAAGTGTGATTCTGTTCGAGAGATATCCTACGTTATTCAAGGCAATGATCCGAGGAATCGTGTTTCCATCATTCAACTGAAGGTAAGTTTCTTCCTTTTCTTTAATTTTCTTTTTACGAGTACTACTTGGTACAAATAAAGAAAATATATAGGTTACATAGTTAAAAATAATTTAAATTTTTTTATTGATAAATATAATTTATGATCGAAATAAATTTAATTGCTGTATATATATTAACTACTTGTTTGGAATTATTTCTTCTATAGAATCAAACTCATACCAAGATTAACATTTATAATTTTGTAGGACGGTATCAATGATATGCTGTATGTGCAAGAGAGTTACATAGATTCAACAGACACCGCCCGCATAGTTTATTCTCCAATACACAAGTTAGCTCTGTCATATCTTATCAATGGAGCAAATCCACTTTATGTGTCTATTGAACCTTCAGGGTTTACTATCTTTCCTGATGGTGGGATGCCATTGAAAGGTGATGATAACAGTGGTGGTGGAAGCATTTTAACTATTGCATTTTCTATCATGCTAAGTACCGCAAAGGTTACGCCACTCATTGTTCCTCCTGGAGCAATAGCTAGGTTCAAAAATTTAAGTGTTCACACACTTAATGGTATAAGGGATGCGCTTCTCCAGGACAATGCATCGATAATGCAAAATTTCATAGCTTCGAAGTGACTTATCAACTTTCAGTTTGAGACATTGTGTAAAAGAGAATGAAGACTCTATGATGTTCGTGTTCTATGTCTTGTTCATGCGGATCGTAAAGGTCCTTTAAGTTATTCTCAAGTTCAGTTTGTGATTTGTTGCTGAATTTATGGAATATTTGGATTTTCAGTTTCTTATATACAGATATTGGTGAATGCTTCTATCTTATGAACAATTGTGTGACTGAGCATATAATAATGTGTGCATTTTTGAGTAAAACATTTTACTGTTTTTTAAAACATTGATATTTACAGTAGGGTGGATACATGGATGAGTGTAGCAGGCTAACCTGTTTAAGTTGGCTAAATTACAGAGCTTGAGTAGTTTTAAAATTTTAGTTCAAACTAACTTTAAATTTCTTTAGCTTGACTTATTTGAGTTTTTTATGTATATCAAATTTTAGCCGACTTAATTTACTGAAGTGCAAAATATGATTTCGGGTTGAGCCTATGACTTTTATTTAGGTGATTTTTTTTCTTCTTGTTTAACAACGCTAAGAACCTGATCATACAGGCTGGCTCGATGTTGGCCGAATAGCCTATTTTTTTAAGCTTAAGTGCATTGTTCACTTAATTTTACTAAACTTTCTTAAACAAACAATCATTCCAACTTCAACCTTGATCAAACCCCGTCTTATACTTTTTCTTTCTTTGTAAAGATCGCCACCTTTCACGCACTCTTACTCATCATTTTACTAAGCTTTCTCCTTATTTACAAAGGAAAAAAGTAGATTAAGTTCATTTGCGTTAGTTTTTCTTATCATAATTTGCACGAATAGAAGTTAAGATTTTTTTAATTAAACTTTCTAGCATAATATTTTTAGCACTACTGCATACTTTATTTGCATTTCTGTGATAAATTTTTTGCCATTTTTGAATTGATTTGAATAAATTAAGTAGATATATATAGTGACAGCTAAAAAATTTAAATATATGTATGACCAATCTATGTACACGGTTCACGTGTTTGCGTTGAAGCTTTACGAGGCTGTGGTTGGACGAGGAAATAATAAAGCAAGAATTCAAGACTGGTTTTTCTTTTGAGCTTTCAGTGTTTTTTCTAATATTTGTAGTGTATAATATTTGTGTTTAGGGTCTTATGACTATATGTGGTAATCGAAAAAATTCATGGGGTTTTGGTTTGTGTATAGTTTTCAAGAAGGAAGCAATTCTTCCAATGCAACTACTGCTAGAAAGGTGTTGGACACAACCAATTAAGATCGCTGAAATGGGACTAGTATTATTAATATAACCTTACGGCCAGAACTTGTGTACATCTAAAATTATTTTGTTTATATAGAATTAATTAATAACCGTATATTTTCATTGATGTTTTAATCTAAGGGAGAGGTTCGAGAATGTTGTGGAGAAGTTCCTAAAATTGAACAAAGAGATCCGATTTTGTAGCCCTAAAACAAATAAATTGTAAAGATGAAGATCCAACAAGAACCAAACTAAGGGGAGAGTTAAAAGATCAAGACAAGTCTCTCTCAAATGAGGACCTCAACAATCATACATAATAAATCATGTTTATCTTGATGACATGGCAATTTATCACTCTTTTGTCACTAATAAACTTCGACCCTCTCAAACTAAGTTCGACAAGTTTCTTCTGATAGATCCCACAAAAATAATTTTTTTAACAAAAAAAATTACATTCATAAAAATCATTACCTATAATTAAATCATGAAGGTTCGTGTAAGGAGGACAAGAATTAAAAACATATTTCACTAGGAGTGTGTGCAAAGAATTTTCACTTTTTTAAAAAATAAAAATAAATATAAAATGATTTTCTATAAAAAAAAAGTTTGAGATGGTCACCCTTAAACACCCTTGAAAAGAAGTGGGAAAATAAAGGAAACTTTCCTTCCTTTCTTGAGGGCTCTCTTCTTCATAGAATACCTTTCTCCCTTTATAGACAGATCCTTTTCTTTCTTTAGTAAGAGTTATTTTTTTTTTTTAATTTTTTTTCTCTCTTTTGAAGTAAATTAGCTGTGATGGAAGAATATGACAAGATAAGCTAAAAAGGAGGCAGGGAATGAAAAAACAAAAAAGGAAGGGATTTTTGTAAGACACAAAGCTGGCTTTATAGAATGATTTATTTGAAGTTTCATGTTGTTTTATAAGTGTTTTGAGTCAGCATACTAGATTTTGTAACTTCTATTTGTTAAAGCATTATAGAATTGTTTATTTGAAGGTTCTCCATTATTTGATGTGAGAGTGTCGTCAAACTTTTTCTTTTTTACAACTTTAATCCAATTATTTTTTATAAAAATAATCTTTTAAAAAGACTCAGATAAATAAATAAAAAAAGTGTTAAATGAACACGCGAAGGTGTTGCAATAAAATAAATGCACTTTGCTATGAAATCATGCAACTGTCAAAATTTATAATCGCTAATTAAACAATTACGCTCGCCACGTATCCACCATCAACGATATTTTTTACACTAACACTCATCCGAACCTCAACTCAATCAGACTCCTTCTTACACTCTTTCTTTCACCAAAAAGCATAATATTTTCAGAGATTCATAACTTATTTTAATCCAAAAAATAAATTGGTTATTGCATATTTTTAAATTATTTTTTATAGTTTAATAATATATTTTTTGGCAAGCAAATTATTTCATAAAAAGTTCATATTTGAATTACATATAAAGTTATCAGTTCAGACAACTCAAAAAGCTGGCAAGAAAGAAGACAGACAATTTATCAAATCATCCGCAATCCAATGACCAAATACCAGTTTAGACCATTTTAATTAATTTTTATGAGAAAATATACAAATTAACCCCCAAAAGTGACATTCTATTATTTATCTTTGGTACCTAAAAGTTTCTCTATATATTTTTGGTCCTTCAATGTAATAACTTGCTCACATTTTCAGACCATTTTTTCACAAAAATTCAAGCAAAATGAGAGTAAAATAAAAATAAAATTTACATTTTAGGGGACCATATTGTATACAACAACACCGACCAATTAATTTAAAAAAAAAAAACCAAAATACAAACAAATTTACACATTTGAAGACTAAATTATATAAAGCAAAGCTTTCAATATAACAAAAATGTGTCACTTTCAAAGATCAATTTATATATTTACTCTCATTAATTTAAAATATTTTTATGACAATTTGCAATTGAAGTTCATATGAGAGTTATTGTCATTTAACTTTTTGTTAGCGATTCATCTTGCCAAATATAATACAATCTTTTTATACTAATTGAAACTAATATACATTTTTAAATAATTTCAAGTTATTTTATTACTAAATATATTGTATACTATTAAAAATAAAACGTATATTTAATTATCAATTAGTATCTACACGACTTCAATAATTAGTTCCGTCTTTAAAACATTGGTTTAACTTATCCATTCGTTGAGAATAAGGAAAAGACGAGTTTGGTACCCTTTGTTTTTCATTCCAAAAATAACAAAACAATTTTAAGATCTAGCCATACCGTTGCTTGTTTACAATAAAAAGCTCAAGTTTAAAAGTTTGGGAAAAGAATCGATGAGATTGAAATATTTCAAGGACATTTTTTTTTTAACAAATATAATTTCATATGAAAAACTAACCAATAATTTTTTAAATAACCAAATTGAACAGTACTATTAAATTAGTCAAATGATTTCCGTATGGGTATGGAATCATTGTTCCAATAAGAAAAGAATCAAGATCAACTCGTAAACAAGTCCGGTAAATTTTCGGGAGTGTCTGCTAGAAGCCAAGCAAGAAACTAAGAAATCTGGAGAAATAACTAAAAAGTGAGCTTACTTATTTACGCAAGGCCAAGGATTTAATCAATATACAGATTTAAAATAATAATAAAAATTTTTGGATAGATAAGAATGATACCAAGATGACTATAGCGGGAGAAAAAACAAATGACCTTGGAGGATTTCAGCTTTCATCATCTTCTTGGAATGATATCTGAGAACGAGAAATCATGAAAAGGTGGCCCTGTAACAAGCAAGTAGCCTAAGGTCACTAACAAATTTTCACCAGAAAAAGAGAAAACATGTGTGCGTGCACACTCATGCAGGCGTACCTGTGCATGTATGCAAGCAATGGAATTGGAAAATGAAATAAATTATCTTTCTCTCTCAAATGCAGATGAAGCATACATGCACGTAATGCAGACAAATAAATGAAAGAGGGAGCAAAGTATCCTTCACCTTCTTGTTCTCCTAGAATGTAAAATGGAATATGTGCAACCATCTTCGTTGCACCTTCATTCCAGTGTATGCTGCCTACTTTCTGCGTGGTGCCTTGTGCAGACTGTGAAGGCCCCAATATAGATGAGCATATAGCTGGGTCTTTCATCAAACCCAGGAAATCACACGCACGTCTCCATACTCTTGCGTCTGAAATTCGAGACCGAGCCACCTGAAAAGCATATCCTTACTTAGAAAAGTAATTACATCAATGACCATGATGTTTTTCCCTGTAACACCAAAATAAATACCTTTCCCAAGGATACTCGTGCTCTTGGTAGTAATTCTCGATGATGTGTAGCAAGCTTTGCAATGGCTGTCACAACAAAACACAAAAGCCTGGACTGTGAAGACCTTCTGTAGGTATCCTTATCAGAACTAAGGGATACATCCTGAGTCATGCCCAGACGACTTCCAGGTAAACAAAGTAGATCAAATCATCAAACAATTACCCAAGAAATCTCTTAGAACTGGAAGAATCAGGGTATACTACATTATATACCTTGAGGAAAGGTTTTCATAAAGAAGTAGTTCTAAACTCTCAAAAAGCTCACGGGCTTCATCTTTGTGAGATCCACCACCTCCACCATGCTCTCCAATGGCCCAACATAATTGCAAGGCCAATTCTGTCTAAAGAAAATTCAATGAATTTTTAACGTAGATTGTTGTATCTCTATCCCAAAAGTAGATAATATAGTTGTTGACTAACCTTGTCTGGGCTATCATAAGCTTCTCCAAGTCTGTCCATTATAGGTTTCTGCAATAAATTCGTAAGAGGTGGCAGATATCATTCACGAGTCTTTACCAAATAACCTAAGCTTTTAAAAGAGTTGGTTCTGACATGGTATCATAGCCTCTATGACTAAGGGCCTGTTTGTTTTAGCTTTTGGAAAAGGTAATTTTAATGATGTATGAAGTGTGATTCTTTTTAGAAATTTTATAAAAATTAGAAGCTACTTTTTTTTTTTAACAATTATAATAAGTATTTTTTATTTTAATGGTTAGTTATCATTTCATCTTTTTTCCAAAAAAGCTAGAATCAGATTATTTTCAGCTTCAGGTTTTTTCATAAACCTAACCAAACAACTAAAGGAACTCAAAAATGATTATTTTTTAAGAGAACTGCTTTTCTTATGAAATAATCTTACACAAGCGAGCCCTAAATGGTCAGGAGCTTGATCCTTGTTCCCATTCCTCTAACAAAAGTGAATTTGGATGTGTTGAAAGTAAAAACAGTTACTAGCCTTCGCCTAATGACCTAAGCTTTTGTTAAAGTTGAATCTTGGCATGAGCAATGATAAATAAGAGCTTAGGCTTTTAGGAGTGTTGGTTCTTGAAATAAATAATAACTTTCTAAAACAGAAAAAAAGATCAAATGCTATAAAATCTCCACACAAAAGACAAACGCAGTAATAAGGGCCATAAGGTGGCCCATCACCAGAAATATATACAGAAAAATCTTCCAGTAGAAAATCTAAATGATTTCATTGGCTATCAAAAAATGATATATCAAGTAGATACAGTAGATCAGAAACTAAAAGAAGAAAAAATCTAGTGTACAATCATAAATAAAAAACAGTATATTGTCAAAAAGATACCTTTAAAAGGGCAATGAAGTTTGGGGAGCGCTGAAATGTAGAGAGCATAAACTCCAAGAGCTGCTTACGAACCTGAAAAGTACAGAAGAAATTAGAATACAAAGTAATGAGCATGGACCAATAACTTAATTCACAAGAACAAAGGTTAAAGGTGGAAGTGCCCTTGAGGTTAAGGCCTTGAAGAAGCACTAAGAAGCACAGCCTTATTGAAGGAAGACATTACTATTGGAAAAAGAAAAGTCAAATTTTGATTTTCCAACTGTTTTGCATTTATTTTCCACATAAATTAAGTACTTGAGCATAATATTCACAGTAAAAATAAAAGATTACAGTGTTCTCATACAAACCCTAAGCTGCTTGCTGCTGAAACTCCCAAAGACCAAAATCTTGTTATGTTTTAGCAATTCGAAACAAAGACTTCAGATAACTTTTATACTATTATAATCAATATGATGCTGAAGTTGTGCTTCAACTGAACCATAAAGGCAATCCTATGACACTAAGAGGCACTCCTATGCTGAAGTTGACCCTTTCTAACCTGCCTCACCTTCATGCCTTAGGCATGCATTTTGGTGCAGCACTAAACATCTAACACCCTTTGCCTATTTTCCTTCCTTTTGTTCTGATTATGAACATTGTCTGTTTTCATGTTCCCCTAATTGGTTAGAAGTTTTTAAACTGCCAAGCTGTACATTTCAAGCAAAATAAAAGAAATGTCATTATTAAAATATCTAGAGGATATCTCATAATATCACTATTATAACTTTGTTTTAGCCAAGTTTGGCAGATTCCATATTATATTATATTGTTTGAATACCCCTCCCCCTTTTCTTAAAGGGTTCATTTGCAACAATGTTAGAGCTTATTAAGCTTCAGCTTAAGGAGGAAAGTGTTAGAATGAATACCTAGAGGATATTCCGTACTATCATAATTATACCTTAAAATAGTTTAGAGTATTTTCATTATCCCTAGGACAGGTTTCCATATTCCTTTACATTTCATGATTTGTTTCCTGATTTAATTAGGACTACAAATCTAGTCTTAGTATGAATAAGGATTAGTGTGTTGTTTTTTTACAATATATGATCTCATATTAAGTCAAAATCAAATTTAGAGTATTTAGTCTCGATTCTGTCTTTTACATCCCTCCATATCAAAAATCCTATAATTTCAACAGTTATAACACAAATAGAGATTCGTTATCAATATAATGTAAAATAACAACAGCAACAACAACAACAACAATAATAATAATAACAATAGTGAGAATAATAAAGGATTTTTTACATCCTGGAACATCATAATAATTAATGAATTTGCTAAAACCACAGACAGAATAAAAATGTCACTGAATTTTGTTATTTGGGCTAGATTACTACAGAAGCTAATGACCACAGCTGCATGCATTTTAAAATGCCAGTTCTTAAAAGTAACTCTAAATGTAATGACATAAGAAGATATAATCAATACCTCATACAAAAATATTTTGTCTGGAAATATTGCAGCAAATCTTGACATAAGCAGAGGAATCAATGCACAGATCAAAGCTGAAAATGAATTTTAAAAAAATGAGGAAAAAACTGTAAAGCCAAGTCATGAATATACCTCCTTAAGAGCACACATTCTAATAACAAAATTCTCAACATTATCCAATAATCCTAAAGTAAACAAGCATCACGAGTGTGTGAACAAAACTTACAATCATTGACATTACGCAATGCAACAGAAAAGTACACATCAAGAAGGCGTGGTGCCAATTTGAGCACTGCTTTCAGCCTGTCAGAGTAAGGATTATTGACTGCAGTATGCAATATTGCAGTCATCACTGGAGACGACCAGGGACGTTCCTGACATAAGATAGAATATACTTTATGAACCTAAATGAAGCTCAGCACCAAACAAAAACCCTAGAGTTTGTTTTTGGAATTATAACATCAAACCAATTTGGCATAACATAAATTTTACTTGAATATTAACCTTTCGAAGTGTAGAAAGCAATATTAGTGACAGTGAAATTTTCACTAATCTTTTGTTTGAAGTGACAATAGACATAACTTGGTAAACATGATGTGGCTGAGAAAAAATGCCTCAATAACTTCACTTTTGACCTTGAAGGTATCAAGCACCACAACAAATTGAATTAACAATGGTGAATAACAAGATGAAAGTTAAACATACAGCGATACCATCATTTTCATCCTTTAAAAGCTCAAGGAACACAGGATCAGCTACATCAATTGCACTGCTATCCTCAGATTCAGAATCTCCTCCACCATCCTCTATAGTTGAACCAGTATATGCTTCATCCATTAGGGCAAGTAGCATCTACATTGAAAATTAAAAAAATTTCACTTATAGGTTACACTTGTGCAACTGTGACTAGATTTTACTAAAATTTAAAGTATGAAAGATAACCTTAGGGGCAGTATTTTTCTGAATAGAAGCTATGCTGCTACCAATTAGTGGTCCAGAGCTTTTTTCCACCTTTTCCAATGCCACTACCAAAACTAGAAAGATAGGCAGGAAAATGTTGCAATTATAAAATTTGGTCAAGGGAGCTAAAAGAAAAATATTATCTTTTTCCCAAGCAATTTTTATTCATTACTGAAGTGGCGTCCATGCTTCCTCCATTTTCTATTTTAATTTTTTTACATTGGGGAAGGGCACCCCATAAAATCATCATGAATATTGCAATGGAAAATGTGCAAAGGAATATAAGTTGGGAAAGCTAAACATGTAAGTTTTGTGCAGTTGATTTTTTCAGAAGAGTGCAAAAAGTCAAAGGATTAACAGTAGTAATTGTGTATATTAATCTTTCTATAGAAAGAACAAGGCAAACAAGATATAAACGGTCATATAACTTGAACATACTTGGCAAGTCCACTAAATATGGAAATAATGGAATAAATGAGCCAGGTGATATCAAGCCTGGAAAGGCTTTCAAAAATAGTTTCTCTAATCTGCAAAATTAGACAAAAATAGTTAGTTAATATCACTTATCTATTAGGCAGATGCACATTGCCACAAAAAAGATATGAGAATTACACTCCAACCACATGTACCAAAATGTAGCAGATATACCACACATTGTCACAAAAATCTGGCCTCTTTACTTTAACCACAATCAATAAATTAGTCATAAAAAACTGGTCTAAGGACTTACAACATAGAACATCTGCAAAAATGCCAAACTAAGACTTCCATAAAGAAACAGCTACAAAACAGCGTAGTGTCAAGTAGAAGAGAAAAAATGACCATGAGAACTGATTATATTTAATTCAATTAGGCAATTAAGAAGCACATACACTTGTTTGACACATGTTTAACACAAGATAGAGAAAGCATAACCATGGTTACCTTTACCACCCCACCCCCCACCGGGGAAAAAAAACACGACTCCAATAAAAAAGGGAAAAAAAGAAGGTACATACCTTTCACCATTCCAAGCAATCAGCTTTAACAACAACGGAAAAAACTGCCAAAGAATAATTATAGATAATATTAGATTGAAACATACTGTCATTATTGAGATAAAAGCAAACTCCAAAGCCCAAAGGGAACAAGCTCATGAAGTAAGAATATAATTTGATTGCATCATAATCTCATACTTTAAGTTTGAGTATAAAAGTTCACAACTTCCAGAGGGGAACTCATGGCAGTTAAAATGCAATCCGAAGTCCAGAAAATTCAATCCATCAGTGACATTTTTTCTCTATCATCCCAAAGACCTTTATACTAAAATATACCCAACTAAACAAGAAACTCATGGAGTCAATATTATCTCATACTAATTACTGAAATTCTTAAATTTATTGTATGTAATGCTTGTAAAATTGGAAGGTGCAGTAGAGCTTATACCTGGGGCAATAAGTTAGGAAAGGAAGTTAGAAGCTTCTTCTTGTTGCAAATGAGAAATTCAAGCGTTGCTTCAGCGACAACAGGATCAGAAAATTCCCTGCAATAGGATACAAAAAATTTTGTAGAATGATATAAGCATGTCTGAAATATTGCATTTTTGGAGGTTCAAAAAAGGGCATTATATAAGCATGTCTGAAATATTGCATTTTTGGAGGTTCAAAAAAGGGCATTCTTAGGGATAGTTTAGCACAAACATTTCCTCTTTCAATTACTGTTTAGTTGATCATGAAAGAGAAAGCCTAAGTTTTGTGGACTTAAAAAATTCATATAAATCATCAAAATTTCCTGACATCTGGCTGGCAGCTCTCCATCTCTTGTCTTGCTGAGTGGCGCAAGGGAACAACAATGATGAATAACAGTTTGCTACTTCCTTTTAATTTCTTGGCTTTCCCAGTGTTGCACTTACATAAATTACTATAGTATATACCATATTTTTTCCATTAAAATTCTGCTCTGCCATCCATCCACTTGAGGCTTCATCAAACCTAGTAATCAAATCTACTAGAATGGGTAACAATCCAATTTTAATTTTGTATTTCCAAGTTTGGATGTCTATGACACGTGCTGGACTTCTAATTCAAAATTAAAATGCCATCGGCATATGGGTTGAGTTTTTGCAAGCAAGATCAACTTATGTTTGACATATCTTGAAGAACATACAAGCATGAAAATGGTGCTTTAGGGAGAGAAAAGTGGATTAAGCTATTTGTTTTTCGAGTGTCAATGCAGTTTGGGGACACCGGAAATCTTTTCACTTTGGAATAACTTGTCTCAACGTTTTTGTGCCAAGGAGACTGTAAATTCAGTTTAAAGAGACACAAACAGGCACTTAATCTTGACGATTCAAGTATACATTATACAGTCAAAATTTAGCTTCTCTCACCCTGTCACAGTCACTCGATTATACACTCTCTTAACATATAATAATTATAATTAATTAATCATTACCTGCTCAAGCACGAACGAAAAAATGTCCGAAGACTAGGATCAGCATCATGAAGAACAAGCTCCCCGAAGTCTAGGTAAAATTGAAGAATTGCCTGAGAACCAAATAAGTAAACATTGGAATGAATTGCATTGAATTAAACACATAGCAAACATTAGGATAAAATTATCATTATTAAAAACCTACGAGTAGAAGAAGGCCATTGGAGGTTCGAGATTGAGAAAGAGAAGCAACAGCGCGTTGAAATATCTTGTTAATTGAGGGATAAACCCTAGCTACCAAGTCCTCGGAATTTTCGCTCTTGCATAATTCATGAAGCTTCTTCACCTATTGAAAAAAATAATAATAAAATTTTAAAAAAGGAGAGAACATGAAAAATTGAAGAGGATGGAAAAGGACAGAGAAATAGTTACGGAGAGAAGAAGAGAAGGATCGGAAGCGGGATCGTTGGCGGTGTTGGTGTCTCTGCCACTGATAGACAGCTTTCGGAGGTGAAAATCCCAACCTAAGTCTCGTTCCGACATTCTTAAAACTGAGAATGTTACACAAACGAGATCGAATTGAAGGAGCAGCAATTGTAGGAGTATAAGTAGGTTCCCTTCTATGCTCTTCGTTCGCCCTTCAACGGAACAAAGTTGCAGTGGAGGGGAAGCGGGGCAAGAGTCTCACTCAAACGACGAAACGTTTTCTCCGTGCTAACTAAACGACATTTAGTTGTTGCAAATTGCCGCGTTTTAGTTTATCACATCCGATTAGGGAAATTTTTGTCAATATTCGTGGATTGCATACCTTTTTTTAAAAAAAATATACAGTAACATTCATTCACGTACGGTTAATTTTTTCTTAATTTAAAATTTTCAAAATTAAAAAGGAAAATATATTAAATAAACAAATGTAATCGCAAGGAAGTATATACTAAAAAAAATTATTCCCGATTAAGCAATTACTTTACCAATAATATCCTGATTCATTTTTTTAAAAAAAATTACCTTATATGTTTATAAATATTTTTAAAAATTTGTATATTTTTATATTTTAAATTTTTAAATTTTATTTTTCAATTATTTTTAATTGAACCCTTTCAACTAAAGCATGTTAAGTACAAAATTCTCATAAAAAATAAAATAATTTTAATATTTTAATTGTTTGGTAATTCCTTAAATTATTTAAAAGTTTTTAATTAATCTTTTTTTAAAGGTAATCTTCATAAAAATATGGCCAAAATTATAATTAAAAAATACTTAAAAAATTAAAATCTTACTTACAAACTTTTTTAAAGTATAAAAAAATATTTAAAATTTTCTAAATGATTTATGAACCTACAGATTAATTCATTATTTTCTTTTAATGGATTATATTTCTCTCTCTCTCTCTCTCTCTCTCTCTATTACAACTAATATATGAATGATAATTTTAATTTTTTCATCAATTTTATATATTCAACTTTGAACTTTTATTTTAGAAAAATATTTTAATAATTACAATATTTGAATCCCAATAATCTTGATAGAAGTGGCAAAACGAGCTACTCACTTGAGGTAAACCATGACAAGTAATGCAAAAATTTAAATATAATTTGAGAACTTGAAAAAATAGTGTTCAAAGCAAGTAAAGTCGATTTTTTGTAAGATTAATCTACCTCATGCTTGATTATATTGCGCTAAAAATGCCTAAATTTAATTTGTACTCAAAATGTAGATTTATATCAACTCACTTAGAGGAGCTAGTCCATTTTGCAAAATCTATATCTTGCTATTTTCTTTCAATAATTATTACCCTGACCAAGGATTTTGGTGTTTTTCTTTTATTTAGAATTTAAATTTTATTCATTTGAATATCATTTCTTTATTTTAATTTTTAACTTAGATAGACTATAACAAATTGAAGATGTCTTTATTTAAAATGTTAAACATCACAAATTACCGTTGAAAATTGGTTTTAGCAGTCAAACACTTAAGAGTAACAAAAATTCCAAAATATATAAAATTAATAAACAATTAAGGAATAAATACTTTGAAGGTGATACATAAATTACTTGATACACAGAGGGAGCAACTAATGGAGATTTGGAGATCCTTGGGGCCCAATCTCTTCTCAACCATTTCACGAGCGTTCTGTCCAAATTTGGCATCTGACAATTTTCGATTTTGGGATTCCAAACAACAATGTACCCCACTTTGAGCCTACCCAATTTCCAAAGCGGAAGGGTGAAAAGACGATAGTCAGATAGACACATGCTAATGGTACCCACAGGCCACAGACAACAATTTTAGTTCTACTGTTTATTACAAAATATCAATAATGAGTTTTGCTCTTTCTCAACTCATGATTTAGTGCTTCAATCATAAAGGACAATTTAGCACTAATACAACTTAACAACCCAATTGGATTCTCAAACAGTACTCACTAAAGTGAATCAAATTTCTATCACTGAAATGGCTTACTTATAGAGTAAATCCTGAAGACTATGACAGAAAGCGTCAACACAAGATGGCTCAAAATTCTTGCTTAGTAAGAGGTTCCTCACTTTGCTATGATTTGCTCTGACTTCTCTGCCAAGCTCATTCTCATCATCCATCACAATCTTCACAGCTTTACACACACTTTCCTTTGTGAACCACCCATCATCTTCACCTTTCGCCACCTCAACACCTACCCTCAGTTTTCCACTCATGTTTCTTGCATTAATGATAAAATCTGAACCAAGGCGTGGCAGCAACACCAATTGGCACTCATTCACAAGTGCCTCAGTTAGAGAAGCAGCACCACAGTGTGTTATAAAGCACCCAACAGAAGGGTGTGCCAAAATCAATTGTTGCTGCACCCACCCTCCATATACAACCCCTTTTCCTTCAACCCTTTCTTGGAACCCTTTTGGAAGAGCATCCTCAATAGGGGGCTTAAGTGCTGCAAGAAATGGAACTCCTGATAGCTCAAGACCCAGTAACAACTCTTGCAATTGATTTTTCTGTAATGTGTTTTCACTTCCAAATGCACAATAAACCACTGAGCCAGCCTTGAATCCTCCAAGCCATTCACCCCATTTTTCCTCCAAAGTAGAGTTTGATGGTTCTGGCACAAGAGGCCCAGAAAGCATAACAGGCTTACCAAACTGTGTTTCAAGATAATCCACATAAGGCCCTTCAATTTCTCTGCAACCTTTGAATCCAATAGCATCTGACAAATTTGCACCAATTGAGATACGATCATACAAAAGAACACCATTACCAAACTCAAGTTTCCTTGATGCAGCAAGGAATCGAAGTTCATGAGCATGAAACTTGATGCATGAATCAGGGAAACCAGAAGGTGGTTTCTTCATATCATCATCTTTTTCTCTAGCTGGAGATGCCATGTATCCTACTGTTGCAGGACTAATAATATAGTACTGAAGAGACTTGATCCCTATCCTACGAGCAATGTTTGGAAGCCAGTATGTGGCAAAATCAAACAAAACAATATGTGGTTTAAGCTCAAGGAGGAGAAGTTCAATATCTTTCTCTGTGTGATCCATGGCAGCGGCAATAAGTGGGAACAAAGAGGAGTGAACATCTGAAGTTGTCTCTGCATCATTAGGAAGACCATCAACATGAGGAACATTGATAGGAACAAAGGTTATGAGACATGGGTGAAGGTTAAGGTTTTGTAACTTGGCTTGTGTTCTTTTTGGTATGAAAAAGGAGATTTTGTGTCCCCTTTTGGCTAACTTGTTTGCAAGGTGTAGAAACGGGGTAAGGTGCCCCATAGCAAACCATGGATACATTGCAATGTGCAAAGGAGCTGCATCCATTGTGTCACGTTTTGTTTCAGGCTTGTAATGTATATATGAAAGATTATGGTAATACAATGTTGTCACTGTGTGTGTTCTACTCTTCCTACCTTGTATACTTTTAAGGACAGATAATAGTGATAAAGATGGTAAGTAGAATGCTAGGTATAGCACCTTCCATTGGCAGCCACGGTTTATCAATGTGGTATATCCTTACAATCATTCAGGAGATGTACATACGGTCTATTCAATCAACAATGTCTCTACTTTCCGGGCACGTCTCGTCCACCGGTTAATTGATTTAAGACAAGGTTTAAATAAAAATGAGTAATGGTTTTCTTAGACCAAAACATTGATATTTTTATTAATGAAATATTGTTAAAATTGATACATTTATTATTTAAATTTAAGCATGTCTTTTATTTAAAATAATATAGTATTTTTAGAAAAATTACAGAAATATAATGTTCAAAAATCGTAAATGATATAAGTACAGAAATTTAAAAATGAAACAATTTAAAATTATAAAGTACTAAAAATCATTATTGACAAATTTTTTTAAAAAATAAAACTTGTCAACAATGATTTTTAATAAAATAATTAAAAAATTTAAAATTAAAGATTACCAAAAATTTTAAAGCACTAAAAATTGTCATTCATAATTTTTTTAAAAATTTCACTGTGATTTTTTTGTAAAATTCCATATTTTAGTATTTTAACCTCTTTTTATATAAATTAAAAGAATAGATAGGTTATCCATTTTTATTATTATGTGACAATTTTTTATTAATTGTCCATCTGTTGAGTAGATCGAAGTTTTGTTATATGTAAACTCGTTAATAAATACATCAATATGGCACGTGAAGTGCGCAACCAGATTACAACTTGCAAATATATTAAACAAATAAAATATAATAATGACAAAACAAATCATAAAATATATTTTTGTTAAAGATATTTTAACGTCCGCTACTACATGTTAAATTAAAAGAAAACAAATTTTGTCGCTACACTTTTATAAAGCCTAAATATTAGCAGACTAATTTTGCGAGTCTCGTGAATATAGGATACGGATCCAGTGCAGTTCACGCGAGAACTGCACTTCATTCGCTTAAGCCATTTTGATACGGCTTAAGTGAATTTGATAATTTTCGCTTAAGCTCGTATAGGCTAGCTTAAGCGAACGAAGGCTTAAGCTAATACCACAAGCATAGAGCGACACATTGAACTAAAGCGAATGGGTGATGCGCTTGAGTTAAAATATACTCGCTTAAGCGAAAAATAACAGAGAGGATTACAAAATGGCTTAAGCGTGCTTGATTTAGCTTAAGCTGATGAGTTGTGGGCTTAAGCGCATATTTATAAGGCTTAAGCGTGTATATGATGGGCTTAATCGAAACCTTAATGGCTTAAGCCTAAAAAAACAGAGAGCACACCTCCCAGGATTACACATTCGCTTAAGCCTTCATGGCTTGTCTTAAGCGGAGAAACCAATAGCTTAAGCGGATATGCTTTAGCTTAAGCTAAAATTGCATAAAAAGAATGCAGAGAGAATGCTCTATAAACTGGCTTAAGCTATAACATATTGGCTTAAGCGAACTAATACCAGCTTAAGCGAGAACTATGTAGCTTAAGCAAAATTTGTGGGCTTAAGCGATTATTGGGGGGCTTAAGCGAAAATGCAGAAAAATAGAAAAACAGCAGCTTAAATTGACAGACATGGATATACTATTTCTGAAAACAAAATACATTTGTCCTTTACATAATTGTTTTTGGCAAAAGAAAATAAAATGATTACTATATGTATGTGACAAGTTTTAATTTATAAGATAATTTGTTGGGTTTATTTAGTAAACAAGTCATACAAATTATAAAAGAGAATAAAAATAAAAGGAATTTAGATAGGTGGTTAATAAAGTGAAATTTCATAATTTAGCTGCAACAAACTAAATAGGTCCTTGAAACTTTACAATATGAACTAACTTCAAACATAAACTAAAATCTAAACTTTAAAACCAAATAAAGAAAAAACAAAGTGTTCATGCATCTTATAGATCAACATCATTATGAATAGGCTGGTCGTCCTCCACATGGTCTCCTTCCCCATCACCACCTTCATGATCAAGTTGTGCTTCCGTTTCTTCTTCTTCCCCTTCTCCTTCTCCCCTTTCTTCTGGTTCCTCTCCTTGTGGGCCACCATCTTCATGATTTGCATTAGGTTTATTTGAGAAGGAAGGTGTGTCTCCAGGCCATGACACTACACCTGCAAAATCCTCTGGGGTTGGCCATGGAAATGTTGAAGTCTCTCCTGCATGCTGGTGTAGGGTAAAGCGATAGAAAGAGTCATTAAGGCTGGTGTAGGCTCGATGGTTAGCCGCCATCTGGTAGTGTATATGTGTATATGCCCGATTGTTGTCCTCCATTTGTTGCTGTATTTGATTCAGATGTTGGGTGATACGCCATTCCATGGGTGTCATTTTGGGGATGGATGGTTGTGCTGATGGTGGTGCTGATGAAGAAGGATCAGAAACTGGGTGTGGTTGTGGTGTGGCTGGTCCAATGAGTTAATGCAATAGTTGTTTATGAACTGGGCATTTATAGGTTTTTTCAACTTGATGCTTTGTGTTGGATTGTTTGGTATCTGAACACCTTGGGCAGCACATAAAGCAGTGATTAATGCTGGAAAGCTCAAGGGCTTTGTTGCAGATGCATTAAGGGAGTTGGTGGACAAAACAAGCTGGTGAATCTCCTCAGAGATCATAGTTGCAATGTCGATTGTGAGGTTTTCCATAATGCTGAAGACAAGGTAGGCCCGAGGCATGCAGAGATTTGATGTGTGAGTGGTTGGAGCAATGTTTGCAAAGAGAAATGACATCAATATTTGAGTCAGTGTCTTCAAATTCCCTCTCCTGAACCTCATTGGCTTGCCTTGATGGTTAGTTTCATATGATTTGTTGGGAATGCATAAGGACCTTGCTACATCATCATCATTAAATCCTGTGGTCAGGCGCCTCCGCTGCTGGTATTCGCACAATTGTCCTTCTTGTAAGGTGAGGGGGTTTCCCAGTAATGCATTGATAGCATCTCTATCATAGGAGATGGATGTCCTTCTAACGCAAGACTTCTTCTCAGATTTTTGTGGATGCAAGGGCCATGCATTGGCATAAAACTCCTTCACTATGTCTTCATCAATTTTATTTGGTTGGTCAGCCAATATATTCCATTTTCTCCTCTGCAGTTCTTCTGTAAATTCAGCAAATTGTCCCTCCTCCAAAATAATTTTCCTTTCAGGTAGAAGTTCCCTTGGGTGTAATTCCAAATATCTCTGAAAATGCGCTCGACTGAAGAACCTGTATCTGTCAAAGGTAAGTTGCTGACTGGGGCTCGGTTGTGTTAGAGGTTCATTATCTTGAGTTCTTGTATGGTGTACATGTTGTGAAGCCTCTCCAACATCTGAACGTTGCTTCTTTCTTTGGGAAATTGATTTTTTAGGAGCCATATCTGCAAGGTAACAAATTTCAATACTCAGAAAATTAGAAAATGCACATAATTTTGACAAATCTCAATACTCGCTTAAGCCAAAATCAAGCGCGCTTAAACGTTTCTTTACAGAAAGAACCTTGTTTCACATAAATATTGATGTCAATCTAACAACAAACAGAGTGATAATCCTAAACTCTAAAAACATTAACCATAAACCCTTGAAAGCATTGTTTCCATAATAGTATCCAGAAGCATGAAACCATCCCTAACCTAAAAGGTAGGAGAACAACATATTGCTGTAAGAGTTCTTACCTGGAATCGTTGGGTTGCTCTGATAATGGGAGAGGAATACTGCAATGGGGAGAATCCTGGATTTGGGGTGGGGTTTAGGGTTTTTCAATATTTTTTGATATAAGGATGAAATGAATGAAATGAGAGAATGGGTTTAACGCTGGGCTGCGTCGACAAATTCATGAATTTCAGAGAGCGATTATAATTGAAACGCTCTCAGAAGTTCACGTATGAGAGCGGTTATGTTTGAACCGCTCTCAGAAGTTCAAAACTCTTAGAAGTTCAAAATTGAACTTCTGAGAGCGGTTCAAACATAACCGCTCTCCAAGTTCACTTCTGAGATCGGTTATAATTAAACCGCTCTCAGAAGTGCACTTATAAGAGCGGTTATGTGTGAACTGCTCTCAGAAGTTTAATTTTGAACTTCTGAGAGTTTTGAACTTCTGAGAGCGGTTCAAACATAACCGCTCTCCAAGTTCACTTCTGAGATCGGTTATTGTTTCAACCGCTCTCAGAAGTTCAATTTGGAGACCTTTACTAGCTTAAGCCAATAAAGTATCGCTTAAGCTGTAATGAGCTTATGCGAAAATTCTAGCTTAAAAATTATAACTTTCGCTTAAGCGGTCTATGAACGCTTAAGCGAAAAAGCGTCGTTTTGGCGCGAATCTTTCATTTGTGTGGCGTAAGCTTGAAGAAAAGCTTCATTTAACCCCTAAATTGCTCTCTCTTAAAAATATACATGCTTGGTACAAATCAGAGACTTAAACAAAACAAGTTACATTCAACATATACTAACTTGGAGCTTCATTGGCATTGATAACCATGGAACCATCTCCATTGTCAGGTATCTTTTTTCATTTTAACATTTACGTCTTTTGCATTTGCTATATCCTAATTTTCCATAATGTGAGATGTTTAACATGGGATTTTTTGTTTATGTTTTTGGTAGAAGACATAACTAAAAACATTGTGGACTGGAAGCCAAAGTTGGATTAGAGTTTGATAATGTAGAACAAGCATGGAATTTTTGGACTGAATATGGTAGGAGGATCGGATTTGGAGTTAGAAAGCAGTATTTTAATAAGAAAAAGGAAGATGGTGCTATTAATTCTTGCAGATACGTTTGTTGTAAAGAAGGTCTTCAAAAAGGGAAGAAACAAAATTGTCAAGTTGCTAAACATAGAGCTGAGACAAGAACAGATTGTTCTACCAGAATTGCAGTATCTTTGGGGAAGAATGAGAAGTTT